CACATATCTGTTGTGTTTTATTCTGACCTTTCTAATCCTGCACTCACTTTGTCTCCCTTACACAGATCCTGTCCCATGCTCCATCCTCAGCAAATCAGTCCCCCATTTTCTCCATGCAATTTCAACCTTGATACCCTTTGCTACCCTGTGGTTCCCATCATTCCTCCCATAGTGATGTTGCTTGAGATACATACGCAGTTTGTTCCCATCCCCATTCAGATTCTGTCCCCTAATCTTTGCTTATCTAATGCAAATCCTTTGGGCAAAGTCTGAAATGAAGGTAAGAATTTTATGAATGGAAAAGTGCCAGCATGGCTTCAATGCTACCATCATTTATTAGAGATTTTAGAAAGAAATTTTCCAGCATATCATTATAGAGGGGGAGAGTGTCCATGTATTAAAAGTCCCTATTAATCCCTTATTCTGGTCTATCGGTTACAGGTGTTGCTGGGGAAAGCAGCTATAACGTGCACCTGTTATTCCCATTTTTCATGCTATGCCTTTTCACCAGTAATTCTAGTCCCCTTCTCAGGCCCTTGTGAAATCATACTCAAATGAAAGCCACAGATGGTGCAATTTAACATTGCTCCACAGCCTTTGTGCAGCTGAATGTTCACATTGGTTTACTTTTTTTTTTTTTTTTTTTTTTTCCTGCTGTAAGCAAGAGTCAGCATACACAGGTGGCTTCCAGTTGCTCTGAAGGTTTTGAGATGATGGCCATGAGAAGCTGGAAGGGCAGAACTGGAAGAAAAATAAAGGGTGAAGAAGGAATGGTATTGGGAAAAGCTGTTGGTTATAGACTGTTCCCTGAATACACCTGTAGATACTCAAAAGAATGCCATTCCTGCCAGTACTTTACGGTGGTTGTTTTCCTGAAACTTCACAAGTTGAACATTATTTTTTCGTGTAGTACATTACTAAAAGAGCTATGGTTGAGCATAGAATAACATGGGATCTCAGAAACTGTTTTCACTTAGTGGGACTGTCATCCTGCCTTTTGCTTCAGAAACACAAAAAGAGGGATATGGTCTTTGACTAGCTGGATTTAGTAACTCAGGTGTTATTGATCAAATGGAACAATTTATTTATTTTTTTTTCCTGGGTTTTAGAGAGTAGTTAGATCTCTCCATTAGAACAGTTTTTGAAAGCAGAGTCTTGCAGAAATACAGATGGTAGTTGGCAGCCACTAGCCTAATGATAGAGTGTATTTGTAATGCTAATAACTCATTATCCATGGAAATATAGCAATTTTTAAGTAAACATAAAGAAAGCTGAAAAGCGAAGGCTAATGTAATGCATTCTTTAAGAAGAAAGAACTAGACAATGTAACTTTTTTTCTTTCTAATCCTTGGCTACTAGCTGCAGGCTGTTACTGAACATACCACTGTGCCCCAGCACATCTGTACATATTTAGACACTTTGGTATAATCCATGAGAAAAATCTTGCAAACATGCTTGTTGTTTGAGGTTCTGCCCTACCACTAGGATATGTTAACTAGTTAAAGTGAAGCCACTAATTTAGATTGTTTATAAAGAAGTTTATTGTTGGTGGCTTTTGTGGAACACATTAAGTGCCTAGATTTCAGAGCAACGAAACTCATTACTCCCTTTTTTATTTATTTAATTGTATGAAGATCTCAGGTGGAAGAGAGCTTCTTAAATGAATATGGTCTGTTTTTAGTGTCTCCAAGAAGTTTGTCTGTCTGGTGTAACCAGTCTTCTTGGCACTGTGGCAAAGTGGGATACATTCCAGTTTTGTCAATTATTAGAGTATGAAGAAGAATACAAAAAGAGATTAACATTCAATAAATCTACAACGTAAGTAAAATAGTAAAATAATATATAAATAAAATCATAAAAATCAATAAATCTACACCATATAGAAATATGTTGCCATCTGGTTGCTGTCATTTTTACAACCAGGTAAAAACTGGAAAGATTATAGGGCTATAATTTTTAGGAAATCCACTACATTTAGAAGTGTGCAAGTTGAGGCATCCACTTGAGACAACTAAAACCTTAGCGGAGCAAAGAATCAGCAAAATTAACAAATACTGTAAATGTGACCTGGTGGCTCCTTCACTGTGACAAGAAGCATTTACAGTGTCCCTGTAAACCTTCCCAAGTGCTTCACATTTTGCCAAATATTTATTAGAGTTTCATGGGTCTTTGTGCAAGCTTTTGAAGACTTGCTTCGGACAAATTTTTGTCTTGAGTACCTGGCCTTTGTGGTGCTTATTATCCTCAAATCCTGTTAAGACCAGGGACCGATTGCCCTTAGATTCTTGCAAGGTTGGGCCCTTTGTGGGAATGTATTTGATTAGTTAAACTGGACCGTTATTAGCTGCTGACTTGCCTCCCTTTCTGCTTTCTGTTGATGGCCAGTTGCTCTGTGTTGCCACTGTCTATAGATTGGTAGAAACACATTCAGAGTCTTGATAGAAACTGTCCAGTTGCCATGTATATTTAGTTCTTGATATTTTTTTCCCAAGTGAAAAGGAATCAGGGTTGGCCTTATTTTATTTTATTTTATTTTATTTTATTTTATTTTATTTTATTTTATTTATTTTATTTTATTTTATTTTATTTATTTTATTTTATTTTATTTTATTTTATTTTATTTTATTTTATTTTATTTTATTTTATTTTATTTTATTTTATGTGGCTTTGCTTGGATTGTGGGAGAGAGATAGTTCTTTACTTAGATAAATAAAGCAGATAGCTGCTACATGGTAGTTCAGAACATTAGAAAAGCCCAAGCCATATCCAGGTTTTCTGGTATAAAATTTTGTGTTTTTATCTTTAGCTACTTTCCATTCCAAGTGGTCTTTAAGACAGACTTTTCTAGTGCATATTATAATGCAAATCATGAGTTTGGTAACTTAATGCAGAGAAAATGAAAAAGGAATGAAATCTTTGAAAATTGGTTGTTTTTGTTCTTTTGTGTATTGTTAGTACCATCTGTCTGGCTTTGTTGAACTGTATTAAATAACATTTTTGAGCTTTGGATAAATGGCCGTTCCCCAGTATTTGAAACCCTTACCACTCCAGGAAAAAAGAGAGATCTGTAAGGGAATTTCTGGAGCTGTTGATAGTTTAAATTTATTTTCCTTGACAGAAGGAGACTTATGAAAGGTACAACACTAACAAATAAATGAAACTAATCTGTTTGTCCTTAGAACACGCACAACATAGGCAGCAGCTATGGACATTATTTCACCACTAAGCTGCCAATATGTTCCCACCTTGCTCTGCAGGGAACATGATTGTTCACTCTCTGCTGTGCCTGTGTCTTTGGCCTTGCTTACAGAGACACCAGTGGTGATCTGAATGAGCTTGTCCATCAGAAGGAGATAGAAATTTACCCATTTATCCTGAGCTTTTAAACAGCCCATATAAAAATAAGAATAAAACCATCTCTTTTGAATATGTAGCGATAGTAGAGAAAATAACAGTAAATTTCATTCAGAGATGTAAATCTTTGAATTACTGTGTATTCCAATCAATTACCATATACAACAATACTTCTAATTAACTAAACAAAAATGCCTGCATCCACTAATAAAGCCTTTTAATATCTTCAGACATGTGCTGTCAAAAAAGAAGACAAAATACAATTTCTGCTTTTAAAAAATGTCACAAATCACGCTTATTCTAATGGAGTGGGTGCTATAAAAATACCTTGATAAATCACAGGAATTCCAGGTCAGGCTGAAGGTCCATCTGGCTTGGTATCCTGCCCCCAAGAGCAGCCAAATAAGATGCAAAGAGAAGGATGTAAGGGGGAAGACATGTCTCCTGGCCTCCAATAACTTGCAGTTCATGGATTTCCTGTGTCAGGGGTTATGTCTTTGTGTTTAGAAGCCCTCAGGGGATTCCTTTCCCTATTAATTTGTCTAATAAACTTTCACCATCTACAATATCCTAGGGCGTGTAATTCCCCAGTGTGACTGCATGCTGATGTAGAGAACTACTGCCCTTTGTTTTCAATCTGTACACAAATGGACTGTTCTTATTTTCCCTCTTTCCCACTTTTTGCTTCTTCTGATCATTTGTCAGTCTGTGTTGTACATAGGGCAGAAGTCAATCATGCCAACACCTTCCCAGGCCAGTTTCCTACAAACCTCGTGAGTTGTTGCCTTGCAAAGGCAACTTCTCCTTATGTTATGCTCTCATGTTGCTCTCATGTTATGAAAGTTCTTGGTTGGCTTCTCTTTGTCCTGAGCTGGGTTTGCCAAAACCTGGTTTGTTTAGGGAGGCTTTTCTCTTGCCCCCTTTTTGAGAGTGCTAGAAGATTGCCCCCGTTGATAGAAAGTTGTGCTCTCTCCAAGAGCTCAACACAGTTTATTCTTTGTTTTGTTACCCTGGTGCAGGCACTGCCCTGAAAACTGTTGAACTTCCATGAGACAGACTTGTTCTTGCCTGTCTCTCACCCACATTAGAGTATGTTTAGTACCTGCTAGCAAGGGTTTGAAGTTGGGGTCTGATGCTGGTGCTTTAAAAGTCCATATCAGAGTGAAAAATGGTACTTAACTCAATTTTAGTACTTGTATCGAAACCACAATCTTACAAGGGTGTTATTTCAACAGGAAAACTCATTAGCAGCCTTACCTCTTGCTCTCTGTTTACTGTATCACCACTTCGCACCTGTATTAAGCCCAGGGTTGGGATTCATCTCACATATTTTGTTAGGCCTGTAGTAGGGCCCTCTACAACTGAGAGTCATCCCAGGCTCCTTTTTAGGAGAGAAAGATACAGCACAATTTCTCAATGTTACTTGTGCTGCTTCCTTTAGAACAGGGTGATAAATACCTTCTTTCTCTCCACTGACCAGTAAAGTGTTCCCAACTATTACATCAGTTATGCTTCCACATTGTAGGTATGTACCTTTGGTTAGGTGAGTTCTGGCTTAGCGTGGCAGGTAGCTGAGTGCCACAAAGCTGCTTTCCCTCCAGCCCAGTGTGATGTTTGAGAGAAAAAAAAAAAAAAAGTGAGAGTTGTGGGTTGAGATATATGCAGTTTAATAAGAAAGAAAGAAAGAAAAAGAAAAAAAGATTAATAATAATAAAAACAAGTGATACACAGTGCAATTGTTCACTGCCAGCTGACCGATGCCCAGCCAGTCCCCAAGCAACAGCAGCCCCCTGGCCAACGCCCCCAGCTTTTATTGCTGAGCATGTCATCATACGGTATGGGACATCCCTTTGGCCAGTTTGGGCCAGCTGTCCTGGCTGTGTCCCCTCCAGCTTTTGCTGCACTCCCCAGCCCCCTCGCTGGCAGGGCAGCATGAGAACCATAATAGTCCTCAGCTTAGTGCAAGCACTGCTCTGCAACAACTAAAATATCAGTGTGTTATCAACATTATTCTCATCCTAAATCAAAAACACAGCACTATACCAGCTACTATAAAGAAAAATAACTCTATCAGAACCAAAACCAGGACTATATACACCCCTTATTCCAAACCATCTACTTCATGCTCAAGTCCCATACTTTCCAACAACTCCTCATTAATCACCACTACTCTTCGCTTTCTTTGCTATATACACATGGTTATCATTCCCTTAGTTTATGTGCTAACCCTTTAAAATGTCTACTGAGTTCATTTAGTCCATGACTTTGGTCTTCATCTGTCATAACGGTCCTTCAGGACAGGAGAGACGGTGTGTGGTGTTGGATTGCTGCGTGATGAAGCCTGCTCTGGTCACATCACCGTTGCACTTCCCTGATTCCATCACTGCTGCACTTGTCCGGTTCCTTACAAGATTCACTCTTCATTAGTATGGGTAATTCTTACTGTAATACCATGGACATGACATGTAGCAGCTGTAACAGTGGTGACATACAACATCGTGTAACAAGTAGCATCACACAATTCAAATCACAGGCTGTTTTCACCCAAGATCAAATCCTCTTAAGGTACACATCAGAGTTCCCCATCCTCCCACATTACCCACCAAGCACACCCATGTCTTTGAGCAAAAGCCATCTCACAGATGGGTTTGCCTTTGCCTGAGGCAGGAATTACCCAGGCTGTCTTCCCCAGCATATTTTTTTACACACTACAGGAACTTTGTCCCTTTCTAAAGTATGCAAGAGTTTTGACTGGGCAGGGCCAGATCTATTGGCAGGTAGATCCTGTAGTGATAACTAATAGAGTAGCTTTTGCTAAATGTGTATCCCAAAGCTTGAATGTCCCAGAACCTATTGCTCTCAGTGTGTTCTTTGTATCATTCAATCTTCCTGGAGACCAGTAGATGTTAGGGGATATGTTAAACCCAGTTAATGCCATACCCTTTGGCCCAGATGTCGGTGAGTTTTTTTCAGAAATAAGTCCTGATGTCTGATTCAATTCTTTCTAGGATGCCATGTCACCAGAAGACTTGCTTTTCAAGGCCAAGGATAGTGTTCCAGCTGGTGGCATGGGACATAAGGTATATTTGCTTCTGCTCAAGAGAAAGGATATCGTGGGTACACATCACGTGCCACCCTGTGCCTTTATCTGCATGACCGCAGGGAAGATAGGAGGAATTGGGATCGTAAATCTACCTTGAACCTAGAAGCCTGGGTACATGATTTGCAAGAAAAAACAATAGACCAAAGGAATTCTTCTAGGAAAATTATGGCTCTATTTCTATTGGGAAGTTCCCCAGACAGAGTAGAAAGTCTGATCTTACTTCTGATCCTAATGACAGGTCTTCTGGTTTGCATTTACAAAAACTAGTAATTCATACTCTGACCAGAAAAGGAAAAAGAGAGATTTTCTTGGTATTGCTGGAGTTTCCAGACCAAGGTGTCCACCACTGGTGCCTCTCTGCTTTTCCAGTTCATGAGTGCCAGCGCTTTGGCATGAAACGGTGGTGCGCTCCGTACAAAGTTCAACCACATGGCCCGCGTGCACTGGACCTTATCTGGATCTACAGGTAGCTGCCCATTGTCCAGGTCACTATAGACCACCTCCAGCACAGCTAATTCCCTCAGGTACTGGATTCCCCTCTCCATGGTGGTCCACTTGCCTAGCTGACATACAAGGTCTTCCTTGAAGGGATACCTTTCCTTCACAGCTGACAGGAGTCGCCTCCAGAGGGTGGAGGGCTGTTCCCCTTTTCTAATCATTCTGTCAATGCCCCAGTGTCTAGTGAGGAATCCCAGCTGCTGGGCTTCCTTGCCTGTCAGTCTGTATCTACCAGCCCCAGAGTCCCAGCATCGGAGCAGCCAGGTGACAATGTGCTCGCCTGGAAAATGCCTGAAGTCTTCTCGGATATATTGTAGATCACGCAGGGATAGGTATTGGGTATTTTCTGACTCACTTACTTCTGTCTCATCCCCCTTCTGTTCTTCCCATTGCTCTGCTTTAGAGCAGCTTTTCTCTTCTGATCCTTTCTCCTGTTCTTGTTTAGGAGAAGCTGCTTCGTTCCTTACTAACTGAGCTGACTCCTCCTGCTGTTGTTTCTCCCTGACTCTGGGGATAAGTGATACCACAGAGATCTGTCTCTCTGCTTTAGCCACAGCGTTTGCTGCAGGAGCTGGATTAGCTGCAGAAGCTCCAGGAGCTGGATTAGCTGCAGCACCTGCCATAGGGGCTGGATTAGCTGCAGCAGCTCCAGGAGCTGGATTAGCTGCAGCACCTGCCATAGGGGCTGGATTAGCTGCAGCACCTGCCATAGGGGCTGGATTAGCTGCAGCAGCTCCAGGAGCTGGATTAGCTGCAGCAGCTCCAGGAGCTGGATTAGCTGCAGCACCTGCCATAGGGGCTGGATTAGCTGCAGCAGCTCCAGGAGCTGGATTAGCTGCAGCACCTGCCATAGGGGCTGGATTAGCCACAGTGCTTGTTGTGGGAGTGTCTGTCGTTTTGTTTTCAGATCCAGAGACAACCTCTTCCCTTGGAGGGTACTGAATAGCAGTTAATGCACCTCGGTAGGCATAGGCCAGGCCCCAGCACGTGGCTGCGATTTGTGTCTGTCTGGAAAAGCCAGGGCAACAACACCCCTTTTTCAAGCATTCTGCCAGTTTTTTAGGGTTTTGCAGTTGTTCAGGGGTGAATTTCCAAAGCACTGGAGGTGCCAACTGCTCTAGAAACCTGCCCATATCCTCCCACTCTCCCTGCCACTCATAACTATCCTGTGTCGGGGCAGACCTGTGGGTTGTATTCTGAAATAGTTGTTCATCATTATCAAAGAACAGAAACACATCGAGACATAGCAATAGGAACATGCTGGTTGCCCAACACCCAAGAGCTATTGTAACTGGATTGAAGGAGGAAGGGAAGGTGCTACTCCTTGTCTCCTCCAGAGGTTGGGTCTCGGGGGAGAAGAGGTGAAGAGTATAATCAATAGCTTCCAAGAGATAGTTCCTGAAGTACAAGGGTGACAGCCATGTGGAGTGCAGATACCAGATTAGGCTTAAATCTAGTGCTCCTATCATATCATAAGCAAGTGTTACACAGTACAGCAAAGAGACAAAATAAAAAGCAATGCTTAACCTGCCCTCAAAGGTGATAAACAGCAAATCGGGGAGCACATACAGCAACAGAGGCATAGCATAAAACAACTCTGCAAACAAATTCATCAGCATTGTGACCAGCAACTCTTAAACTAATATAATAATTACAACAAATGATAAATCAATCTGTTCCCTCTAACACACTCCAGTCAGATCTGTCGTTATCTCAACCGTTGGAGCCCCACGTTGCTCGCCAAAAGGACTGCTGTGGTTCAGCCTGGCAGGCAGCTCAGCACCGATCGCTCACTCCCCTGCGGTGGGATGGGGGAGAGAACCAAAAAAGGTACAAGAGTAAGAACTTGTTGGGTAAGAGAAAGGCAGTTTAATAAGAAAGAAAGAAAACAAATAAAATAATTAAAAAAAAAAAAAAAAGTGATGTAGAATACAATTGCTCACCTCCAGCCAACTGATGCCCAGCCAGTCCCCAAGCAACAGCAGCCCCCCCAGACAACTCACCAGTTTTATTGTTCAGCATGGACTGCACAACACCATATCGTGTGGGACATCCCTTGGTCAGCCTGGGTCCTGTTCTGGCTGTGTCCCCTTCTAGCTCCCTGTGCACCCCCAGCCTCCTCTCTAGCAGGGCAGCACGAGAAACTGAAAAGTCCTTGGCTCTGTGCAAGCTCTGCAAGAACTTAAACAACAGTGCGTTATCAGCACTACTCTCATCCTGAATCCAAAACACAGCACCATACCAGCTACTAGGAAGAAAATTAACTCCATCCCAGCCAAAGCCAGGACAGTGAGTTGTGATTTTTTGCAAGAATCCATGGGCTAATGAAAAGTAACTGTTCTGATGGGCTTCTTCCTTTTTTTTTTTTAAAGCCAGTGGAGCTCTAATCCCATAGTATGTTTGTGGAGAGACTTCACAGAGAGTGTTTTTGACTGCCACCACACTTCACTTTCTTCTGTCATGGAGATTTTATTTTCTTTTATAAAAGGTTCCCAGCAATTTGACATCCATGGAATTCCAATCCCACTTTCAAAGGAGATGCCAAAGAATTGTGTCTTCATCTTTTTTAATTCCTTTTCTTGTTTTTCTCTTTCATCTATAATTGTTATTTCTAGCCAAAATATAGATATGTTCATGGTGTCAGACAGTAGTGTTTGCCTGAGTCAGAAAGTAGACCCTAATAGTAGCACTTAAAGAGGTAAACTGCTACGTTCATCTTGTCCACAGAGTTCTGCAGTTGTGCAGATGGTCTTACAGCTGAAGAGCATGTCATGCTTTTTTTTTTTTTTTTTGGCTTTTCTCTCAACGATAACTGATTTTATTGTGTGTTTCAAATGTTGTACTGTACAACTAGGGAGCTGGGAATCATGGAGCCATCTTGCAGGAGTTAGAAAGTCCAGCTGGAGAGCTAGACAGTGTGGAGATCTGAGGGAGCCAAAATGAACATAATAAAAAAGTCTACATTCGTGGTAGCTATTGTTAAGACTATGTTCATAAGGGTACTTCAAGAGTTCATCAGGACTTGTTAGTACAAAACTTCGTTCTGTTGTATTAGAAAGCATGCAAGACCCTGCCTGGGTTTGCTTTGCCCTCCTCTGCTCCTTCTAGTACTGGACCACATCTGGGCTAGCATTTTTAAAGGGAAGTCACTCTTTCATGTTTCTGTATCTGTTAGCACACTCCTCAGGCGTTCAAATCTTTCAAACCTTCTAATCATGTAGTAAAACATTTTAAAAGAACGTATCTAGCCAAATAGGCGACTGACTCAAAAGCAATCATTCTTTTCCAGCAGTGGCTTCTAGTTCAAAAATCTCAGCCATCTGCTTCCCATCTTATATATACTGCTGTTATTTTTATTTAGTCAGCATTTTATGGGGCCATCATAATAAAGAGAAGTCTGGGTAATTAAAACGGTATCATAGCTTCATGATCATTAGTGGTAAACACATCTGTTGACACAAATTTATGTTTTCTTTTTTTTTTTTTTTCCTTTTTTTTCACTACTTTTGTTGCTTGGGAGACTCCTATACTTTTCTTATGCAACATCAGCTGAGTAGTCTACTGCACCATCAAGGTTGGTGTTAATGTTAAGAAGGGTTGGCTGCAAGCATATGAAGTAGTTATAAGAAAAATGGACATGGACACAGACTGCTGCTTTCCCTGTTTCTCCTGCTTGGCCTTTTCTCTGGAATACAGAGATTTTCACAGAATCACAGAATTATCTAGGTTGGAAGAGACCTCAAGATTTTGAACTACTTCATCTTCTAAAATGTTTTGGCTACCTACATACAGCACAGGAGCAACTATGATATGCTGTGCTGTAATTAGAAGTTGTTATGTTGACATTAATATGGAATAATGCAACATACACATTTAAAGAATGAACTTTTTCATATGAAGTTGGCCAGCAATAATTATGTAGGTTTAGAAAGAGCACTCTCATCCACATCCACTGGCAACCTATGGTCACTACCATTTTTTCTGTAGTGGCTGTTATGTGAAAAGAGAGTGTTTTCAACAATTCATGAATGGGAAGGCCTGATTATATGGGCATGTCTACTACACTGTCTTCTGATGAAATATGATGGGTAATTTATATTGGGGAAAATGTTTCTAGACTAGCACACGTCTTTATAGCTATGCAAAACAAGCTAGCACAGTGTTTTTCAAAAGTCTTATTGGTCAAATTTTGACTCTGGATATCCTTTTCAGACAGAGTCAGTAAAAGTTAAAAAAAAAAAAAGTCAAAAACAACAACAACAAAATAAACATTCAGAGTTGGAGAAGAAGCCCAAAGCTGAGACACGCTATAACAGGTCTTCTGACAGTTTACCGGATGCCTTGATTAGTGATTTCAAGTGACAAATACAAAATACATGAATATGAACAGATCTCCTTTTTGGAGCCACTCAGAGTGGAATTAGAACCGATGAGTGTATTTCATCCTGCACAAGCAGAATGTCCCTTTTTAACTCTTGCATGATAATGCCCAAGCAGGTCACTGAGTAGCATAGAAGTCTCCCATCAATTTCAGAGGAAAGGAATACAGAAAGAATAATGCAGCAGGATGAAACCCTATCAGTTACTTAGAGTTTTGAATACAAAGTTTTGTCTGTGTCAAACATTTTCTACTGTGCCTGATGTAGTGACAGTGGTTTGCCAGTATCTTTCTCCAGGCTCCTTAGAACATGTAAGTTTTCTCTCTTTTGTTCCTCAACAGAGGGTAATTTCTGTGGACTTAGTGCATATGTATTTTTAAGAAGCATTTCACTACTTAACCCTTCTTCATATTCCGGTACTTTATAGATAGCTATACCTTAAATCTCTGACAGTAACATAATGTGTATTGGGATTCTCAACGGAAGAAATATGCAGACAATATGGTCACTACTGTAACACCCCTTTATTAAGCTACAATTGCAATTCGTGAAATCATTGCAAAATAATAAAAAATTGTTGGAAGATAAATACCATAGATACGGTCCCTAGAAACCACTGCTCACTTTAATTGAGAGCAGCTGCAATATTGCAGAAGCCCAGGGAATGTTGCAGTTCATATTCTCCCTCCCTGGCTCTTTCTAGGGGAGTGCAATACATTTTGACTAACATACCTCCTGGCAAGTCTGTATGCAAATGTTTTTTTTTTTCTTAAATATAAAGCAAAATGAATTAAAAGGTTGCTTGTAACCATAAATGTTGATCCACAGGTGCTCTACAACTTCAGAGCCAAAGAGGCTGCTGCTTTCCCGTTCCTTTTGTTCTTGAAAACTTGCCCACACTTTGGGTTGTGTCTCTGAGGTTTTCAGTTGTATGGGCACTTGGGAACTTAAGGGAATGCTTGCACAGCCAAAAGTTTGCAAGCACAAATATAAATGAATTGGAAAATACGTATCTATGTTATCTGGTTCATCTTCCAGTTCAAAGACCGGGTTTGGGCTGGTCTTTCATGTCACATCTTTATCATTACTTCTGGAAAAAAATGCATGAAGTCATGCATTACTCCCAGACTTCATATCTCTATTGAAACAGGCATTAGAGAAAAGGAATAGTGAGAACCTGGTATTTTTCAGTCCCACTTATATAACTGATGAGAGATTGTAACATATCCTCAGTCTGCAAATACTCCTATGTGCGTTTTTGGAGACAGAAAACAGGTATTAGGGAACACAGACAGAAACATCTTAGTAGTCCAGGTGTGTAACTTGCACTTGTAAGTTACTCTTCTCCCTATCCCCATATAAGCCATTTTATTGTTCTGAAAGCCAAGTCAGATGCGAGACCCAATATAACTGTTTTAACAGCATCAAAACTGCCTTTGTATATCTCCTCTCTTGCTAGCTTTAAGGACTGACTAAAGTGAGTGGAATTCTTTGGGGAACTACCCAGGTTTAGAAACCTTCAAAACAATTGCCAGCCAAACACTGTGAGTTCCTGCCAATGAATAGCTCAGTCAGGTGACCTAGGATAGATTTTATAGTGTAGGTATGTTAAAGAAAATATGCAGACAGAAAAACATCTCAGAGTAGAACACTGCACCTCATGTGGAATAAGTCTGTTAGGGTTAAGCTTTCAGGTTAATCCTCACCCTGTGTTTTGCACTAGCCATTTGAAGTGTATGCCACACTTACTGTATTAGTTAAAAAATACATGATTCCTCCTTACAAGATCTTATGAAGCCTGATAAATAATCTCTCCAGTGGTTCTGGGAGGGACAACAGCAGCATCAGTCAATTTTTATTTTCTGAGGGGAAAGCAAGGCACAACAGCTATGTCTCTCACCCAACATCTCCTAGAAAGCCTGATCAAGAGCAAGGAAAAGAGTCCAGATCTTCTTTACTCCAAGCCTCTCTTCCTTCCACTCTAATATTCTCTCTTCCTCTTTAGTATTTCAGATTAGCCATACAGTTCTGTAGGGAAAGGTTTCATAATGAGATTTTCTTCTGTGGAATTTTTCCAGGGTTCCACCTAGACATGGCATTTTTATTTTTATTTTCACAGAAGGACTCTCCCTTCCCCAGGCCCCACAAAAGTTTCTCTGATGGAGAGATGGGACAACTTGGGAGGTCTGTGTGAAGAACTACATTTTGCTGGATACACTCCTGCTGTTAGCAAATTGCTCCAATGGGAGGACCAGCCAACTAACTCAGTCAACCTACTAAAATGGATTCTCTATTTTATAGAGATAGATCCTCTCAGTTAACTCATCTGTTAGATTGTAAAAAATGAGAGAAGACAGAGCACACGCTACATGGGGAGAGTAAACAAAGGCTAATGGGTAAGGTTTTGTTGGTATCAACAAAGGTTGGTACTTCACTGTTTGCTTTGCTCTACATCAGTTTTCATGCTTTCCCTGTCTCTCTTCACTGATTCTGATTTTGATTTTGTAAACATAAACCAGTCAAAAATTTCCACAGGGAGCAAACAAAGAACTCCTTGCAGATTATAGCCAGGATTGTCAGAGGAAAAAAAAAAAAAAAAAAAAAAAAAAAAGCATATGCAAACCCCAGAAAGAATTCCCAGGAGACCCTCACCAATGTTTGGATTTAACCTGAGCTCTGTGAAATATGAATCCACTTCTCTTTACTGCTACCTGTACAAGTCGGAAACTGCCCAAGCAATTGGAAAACTGGTCCTAAGTTACAGGCTTTGACTGGATGTTTCCTTCAGTCAGTTTGGCAGCCTATGAAAGCATACTGGCTTTTGGAACAGCTAGTTCATCACATGAAAAACATA